AATATATAAATGGAATATAAATATATAAATGGAATCTTGCTTTCATAAATTTGTGCCTGTTGATAAAGTCTATTTTTATTTAGCTATTTTATATAATCCTTATATAATCCCCCCCTTTTCTCCGAAGAGCTTTAAAAAGAATATATTACATTTTTAATTCAGCCTGCAAGCTGTCATTATCTCTCAGCCCAGCTTTTTTTTCAAGCAACCCTAGTGTTCTGCTTTAATTATAATTGTTTGACTGTTGAACTCTTTGCCTTAGATATATTAATTCATATATTTGTGGAGTCCTTGGTTCCATCTGAAAGCAAGCAATCACATTCAGAGAGCACCAAGGACACCACAGTCCATCCCTGATACATGCTATATATTCCTTCTATTGGAATTCATACTTTCATTGTTGTTGAATAAGTCCATTTGTTTGATGATTTTTACTATGTTAATACTGATTTCATTTTTATTCTCCGAATACAATTCTAATAGTAATGTATTAGTATCCTCTTCTAATATGTTCTCTAGTATTCTATTAGAATTCTAACAGTAATATCACCATTATGGGGATGTTAATGAGGAAACACTAATTTAGGACTTAAGAATGAAATTTAAGAGAACATTTATAATAAATAGAATGGGCAAAGGGTAAAAGACTTTTTCTAGGAAATGGGAATTCACATAATTTAGGGATTTGATGTAAGCAGTTGCTTGATTGGAATATTCAAATCCCAGTATTAATTAGATGTTTTGTCAAAGCATCTGGTATGCTCAAATATGGGAGGGAGCATACTGCTTCCCTTTGCCTTTCGGTTCCACTCTAGGAGCCTTCCAGGCCGAAACCATTTTTGTATTACATTTTGTTTTGCTGATAAATAAATGAAGAGAGACTAGAATAGATCTATTTCAAGCAATTTAGCTCTCATCAGCTTGCCATAGTCTTACTGGGATTTGAATTTAGGCTATTTTACATGTTAGGCAGTTATATTAACCTCTAAGCCAAAACTGTCCTCCCTTATCAGCCGAGCCAGGGGAATGATTAGATGTTTTGTCAAAGCACCTGGTATTGTTGAAAGTGTTTTGGCCACACGGG